GCAACTACTAGGCTCTGGGAAGTGTCCAAGAAGGCTGATGGAAGCCCGCAGGTGTGCAGTTTCAAAAGCTTTCAAAGTGTTTCATGCCCAAGTCTTCCAGAAATGTTACACTTCACAACCATCCTCTTAAAGCAAGATTTATGCTATGCTTTGAATATTTCTAAATCTCTGGAGTCTGAGTGACAGAAACCTCTATTTATCAGGCTCAGTCACTGGACAAGTTGGTCTGGTCAGGGATCATATATAAACCCATTTATGTATAGGCCATTATTTTGTACAAACTACTAAAAGCAGGTGTGATTTCAGTGCGCTTGCCCTGAATGTGAAGCCTATTGCTTCAAGACTGTCAATGAGGAGAAAACAGGAACAAATTTTAATGACATGTTTATATAAAAAATCCCAAAACAAAACAGTGTCCTTTTTCTATGATATGTCTACAACAGAAAGTACAGTACAGTTTCAAGATACATCCCACATATTTTTTGAAGAGGGGTTACAAATTCACAAAGACATAATACTGCTACGCAAGTGCTTATTAAAAGCAATAAAAAGAACAGAATGAACAATTTATGGTCTACAAAGCTGAGATTTGGTGTTTACCAGGGGAAACTGCTTTACACAGTGTTAGAATTTAAAGCCTTGACCCTGCAAAAGAATTACTGGGAACAGTTGCAGCTCGTGCAAAGAGCTGCTGCAGTTAGGCACAGGTCAATATGCAGGAAAAGTTCTTCAAGAACTGGGGACTGAGAAGGTTTCTAGCCTAACTATATATATATATAAAATCAACACAAAGATGGGAGGATGGAGGTTTCTTGGTCCATCGGTTCTCTCAAGAACTCTTCTTAAGCTTTTGTTTGCTCTGGTAAGAAGCTAAACTCTAACAGAAACATTATTTGTCACCATCAGACAAACAGTATGAAGCCATGATGGCTCCAAAATGTGTCTTTGGCTCTTCTGGGTATGACATAAAGGTATAATTTCCATGTTTGCCCCATTGGCAACTCCTGACACTAGGATGGTTATTACTTACACAAACAGAAATCTGCAGCCAATCAAAATAATATGGTTGGCAAGAAATCTGGGCAAACTTTAATAGCTATGGTTCTTCAACATCAAAAGGATAAAAGTAGAATAATAATTTTTGGCAGGGGAAATGGGGATGTTTTAAAATTCTGATTGTTTTCCTATGAGGATTGTGTTATAAATACTGAAGTCTAACTTAAAACATGTTCTGGTTTCACGAATTCACACTGAGTAAGATTCTGCTTGACGCACTGAGTTACACTCAGCTCACTTCCACTCTTCTCAAACCGAAGTTACCTGGAACACAACAGGTAAAAGAGTGGGATTTGGCACAGAAACTGCATGGCCAAAATTGTTTATATGTCTTTCTGAAAGGAGTTATCTATGCATGCAAGCATGCTCCAGTGGAATTCACAGAGTGCTCTTTTCCAGAAAGTCTAATTAACTTCAGCCTTCTGGGAAATAGAGAGCCAGGAAAGGCACTCACCAAGTGGAAGATGTACAAAAATTTAAATGTAAAACCTGAAGTTTTTACTTTCATTTTCAACCAGCTCCAGTGCTATGTTCAGGACAGTATAAGCCTGTCTTTCACTGGAATCCGATGAAGCAAATAAGCAGTTGTATTATTTTAGCAGGAACTACACTCACTTGCCACAAGATTAAGCTACAGAAAAGCTGGTTTAGTAGATTTTCCATTAAAACAGTCCATGCTATCTAATAAAGACTATTTTCTAGGCACAGAATTAGGTACACTCGTTAATCTGCAGTGAGGAGCAGAATCAAAACATATTAATGACATTGCAAGCAAATAAACTTCCTTAATTAATAGAAAATGACATAAAGTTTTGGCCCTTCTTCTAGAAAACAACATCCTGTAAACATTTTCCTTGCCTTGGAAAAGTGAATACCTCCACAGGGAACCAAGAAAAAAATGTCCAAAACCCAATCAAACTTCATATTTTTGAAATATTTAATTTTGATTTTTACCTTTATATGATTGTACTTTGAAAAAGTCATACTGAGTCCTGAATCAGAATGATCTGTTTAATGGCACTGAAATGAACTTCTTTCCCCAAGGCAGTAACATAAAGAAGCGAAGAAATATTTTGAAGGAGGAATAAATAAAACAAAATACTGCATGTGAATGGTTTTGTATGAATTGGTATTTTTGGCTTTAAATAAAAAGTTTGCTGAAATATTTCCCAGGCAGATCTACTTGGGCCTCTCATTCACTGGCACAAGCTCAGTATCAGTCACTTAAAATGTGTGTTTCCTCAGGTACCTAAAAATGTGACATTCCTTAAAAATACATAATACAAAAATCTTTTCTTTCCTTTATACTACATATTTACAGTTCTATTATCAAGGTACTCTGCAAAATGTAAACAAGCATACACATGTGTAAATATTATGGCTTGAGAAAGGTTTCCCCTTTGATTAGCTGTATATATCAGTATACATAGATAAGAAAAAAACAGTACATTTTATAAACTGTTGTCAAACACCAAAATGTAAATTTTGGGGTTTATGCATTAGCTGCTGAGTAACCACAGCAGGCACTGGGCATCCTTCCCTAGACTGAAATGTCAGACGTACTGTAACAGTGGAAGGTCACCAAAGTAATCGGGCTGATACAGGTGGGTCTGAGGGAGCAGGGGTTGCTCAGTCTTCAGGAGAGAAGACCAAGGGGAGATATTACTGCTGTTGTCAACTACCCCATGGGGGCTGTAGATGAGATGAAGACAAACAGATGCATGCTGAAAGGACGAGAAGCGGTGGACCAAAGTTGTAACTTAGGAAATTCTGATTAAAAACCAGGAGCAAAAAAAAAAAAAAAAAAAAAAAATAATATCATGGCTGTGAAATTTTCACTGGGCAGAAGCTCAAAGAGGTGGTGGGATCTCCCTCCTTTGAAACACTCAGAACTCAACTGGATGAATCTCTGAGCAACCCCATTTAACTCTGAAGTTGACTGGGTTTTGTAGAGAAGCCTGAAACTCCAGAGGTCTTTACAACTGAATTTTATGATTCTATGGAAAATGAATATAATGCAATGTTTGCATTACTGCTGTAGTTTGGCTCTATGGTAATACATAGTTAAGATCAAAATATGTCAGTTGCTTAACTTGGATTGTTCTTCCCCAGCAGTTGCTAACATTACATCTAGTTGTCTCACACAAGATTTACCTTATCAGTTCCAGTTTAGTGAAACTGCTCCAAATTCACATAACTGTAGGATCAGACCCAGGCCACCACACCTCCAAAAGAACATTTAAAATGTCACTGCTGATAGTAAAGCCCTGCTGAGAGCCACACACTTCTGACTAGTTTTGGGACAACAGCAATTTAGTCATATTTACATTAAGTAAAGTTTCCAGTGACATTCACAACTCTGAAGAGGAAACAACAGGAGATCAGCATGAATCTTGATAAGCATTGAAAAATACCAGCCAAACCTGTATTGCTCCTGGTAGATTACAGTTTGAATTAAACTCACAGGTGAGCAAGTGTTGCTTATTTTTTACTGGACAGTTACTGACTGTAGATGCATGTAAGACCTGAGGTGAACCATGAGCTAAAACTGTTACTTCACCTTCTCATTATCCTACTGCAACAACAAACTTCATCTTTAAAAATCACAAGTGAGCATCAATTATTGTCAGTTTGTCTCTTCTAAGACAATTATCTTCTCTTGCAGAGCTGCAATTTGTTACAATGTGTTAAACGGTGGTATGAACGCATCCAAGACCTGCAACTGCCTGTAATACCTGTCTACTGAGCCCATAGTCCTGATGCCCTTTAATAAGTGCACTTCTGATAAAGCCAGACTCAAGAGGTTACTACATAGATTTTGTAACTCCTAACCCAAAAATAATTATAAAGAGGCACTCTGAAAGCTTTCAGTCTGGTTAATGCAGACTATTAAAATAGAGAACATTTCTATATAATGTCATAGCCCTATATTAAAGAATAATGTGTCTAAACAGACAAAATAGCACCAAAATGTCTTTGTTCTATTCAGTGACCAACAGCAGTTGTTGAATGGTATCAGGACTTTTTAAAGCTGACTTAATCAAGGTATTGTGCAGTAAATGCGTATTAGAATCCTTTATATAAAGAACAGAGATTATCTTTAAACATCTATCCTTGCTTACTATCTGCTTTTTCCATCCAAGATAAAACTCTTTTCTATGTTAGAAGGTACTGTTTGATGAGAACTGATGCACAGTTTGACTTAACAAACCACCGAAAAACTCAGCTGACAAGGTGGGAGTATGCAAAAAGACAGAATAGTCTGACAGATGACACCATGCTCTTTGGAAGACAGATTCAAATGTTAAGCAAGATATAGATGGAGCCTTTCCAATCACTCAATCCACACTAGAAATGCGGTACATATTCTTAAATTAATTAACAACTGATCAAGGACTGTGGTGGATTCTTCTTCAATCGCAGGTGTAAATGAGACTGAATGCTTTTCTAGAACATACAATGTTATTCAAAGTGGAATTAATTTGGTGAATCCCACTAGTTTCTGTGCAATGTCATTGTGAAATGAATCCGTACTGGCTTCATAATCTGTGAAACGCTCATTGAACTTCACGCTGGTTGTTAAGGGGGTTTAGAAAGCCACTTATACATGGTGTGGCTCACTGCATGTTGACATGTTGCATACTGCTTATCCTGATACTCTTTGGAGCTGGTCTTATTAAAATCATGTCCAAGCTTTCAAACAATGAATTATATTATATCAGAAAGAATGTCCAGAGCAGATTAATGGAGAGGTACGAGGTTAGGAATAAATACATGAAAGAAATTCAACCTTTTAAAAGGAACCAGCTACTAAATGGACTCTGTAGTCTTCCGTAAGAAGTGTGAATACTTAGTACAATTCAAGCTGAATTGAATAGCTGTTTTCATATCCAAATTCAAATACCGTCTGTGCATATAAAACAGTTCATTTATTAGTCCAACTGTTACTGTTGTAGAGCTCTTGGAAAAATATTCCCTCTTTCTTGAGTTTGCTCTTCATAAAAAGGAAGCTTTGGAAGGCCACCTAGAGAATTAAGTAGAAACACAGTTTCAGGTCTGTATAATGTAATACTGAAATCTTATAAAGACTATACAATCTACACTTACATAATTCAATAAATGGTACTCTTCAAAAAAGTGTAGAGGACTGAGTTACACTGGCCTCCTCACA